ATTGCCACTAGCAATGTAGGAGCATTTTATTTGTTCCACATTCTTGTCAATACTTAGTATTGTATTTTTATTTTACCTTTTCTAGTAGGATTGTAGTGGTCTCTCACAGTGTTTTTTGGGTTTTTTTTTCCAGGGTTTAATACAGTTAAACTTATTTTTATACATTTACTGGATATTCATATGTCTTCTTTTGTGAAGGATGTATTCAGATCTTTTGCTCGTTTTTATATTGGGTGGTTTGTCCTCATGGAATTAGAAGACTTTTTAGTATGTATACTGGATACTAGTTCTCTATCAGATATATGTATTGCAAATATTTTCTTTCTGTAGCTTGCTATCCATTTTTTTTCTGTTATGGTTCATGCTTCCATACCTTGAGAAATCTACTCCAAGGTTGCAAAGTTATTCCCTATGTTTTCTTCTAATAGTTTTATTGTTTCAGCTCTTATTTAGTTTTGTGATACATTTCAAGGTAAATTTTTGAGTATTAGTATGAAGCAAGATAGAAATTTTGTTGGGTTTTTTTTTTTTTTTTGATTTATAGTCTGGGGTAAGACTGAGATTTTTTATTGTGTTTTGCATCTGGGTACCCATTATTCCAGGACAATTTGTCAAAAAAAAAAAAAAAACAGTTATTTCTCCACCTTTCTAAAAAATCAGTCATGTGGATTTATTTCTGGACTCTATCCTTTTATATTGATTTCTATTTCTATCCTTTAGCTAATTCCATATTGCCTTGATTATAGCTTTATCCTAAGTCTTGAAATCAGATAGTAAGTCCTCCAATTGTTCTTTTTCAAATTTGTTGGACTATTCAAATTTGTTGGACAAATCATGAACTTTGGATTTCTATGTAAATTTCAGAATTAACTTATCAGTTTCTCCAAAAATCTTATGGGGTTTGCATTGGAATTCCATTAAAACTATAGATCAGTTTAGAAAGATTTGAGTCTTGTATTCCCTGAACAGGATATACTTCTCTATTTATTTAGGCTTTCTTTACTTACTCTCACAATATTTTGTACTTTTAATTGTGGGGCTAATTCATGCACATATATTGTCAAATTTCTCCAAAAATATTTCATGTTTTTTTCAATTGATCATAAATGGAATTTTTAAAATTTCAGTTTATAAAATAAGATTTTAATATTTTGAAGTGTTTTGCAACTTGTTTTTTGGAATAGCATGTGGTTTATCTTGGTGTACATTCTAGATGCACTAAAGAATGTATATTCCAGAAGCAGTGCTATCAACAATAGCCAAATTATGGGAAGAGCCCAAATGTCCATCAACTGATGAATGGATGAGAGGATGTGGCGTGTGTGTGTGTGTGTGTGTATATATATATATATATATATATATATATATATATGTGTGTGTGTGTATATATAATGGAATACTACTCAGCAATGAAAAAGAATGAAATATCTTGCCATTTGCAACAATGTAGATGTATCTGGAGGATATTATGCTAAGCAAAATAAGTCAGTCAGAGAAAGACAGATATCATATGATTTTACTCATATGTGGAATTTGAGAAACTCAACAGATGAACATAGGGGAAGGAAGGAAAAATAAGATAAAAACAGAGAGGGAGGCAAATCATAAGAGACTCCAAATACAGAGAACAAACAGGGTTGATGGGAGTAGGGTAATTGGTGATGGGCATTAAGAAGGGCACTTGTTGGGATGAGCACTGGGTGTTATATGTAAGAGATGAATCACTTGGTTCTACTCCTAAAGCCCAGACTACACTGTATGTTAACTAACGAGAATAAAAAAAAAAAAAAAATGTATATTCTGGAACTGTATATTATCTAATTCAAAGTGGTTGATAAGGTTCAAATTTTCTATTTTCAAAATGATTTTTCTCTTTAGCTGTTCTGCCAGTTACTAAGAAATGTATGATAAAATCTCCAAATTGAACTTATGTCTATCTTTACTTAGTTCTGTCAGTTTTGCTTTAAACAGTTGTATTTTTTTCAGAAATTCAAAGAAACAATTTATCCACACACATCTATGCACATAAGTACATATATACATGATCACAGAGTGTTATAATTTCTTACATATTTGTCATTATTTATATTCTTTATTCCTTCCTGTAAATGCAGTTTAACGTGTTGTGTAATTTTCCTTTAGCTTTTAGGTCCTGTAGTACAAGTCTGCTGTCCTATCTGAAAATAGTATTTCACCTCAGTTGTTGAATGTGTTTTACACATTGATAATTTTTTATTACTTGTTTCTCTTTCAACTCATAATATATAATTACCATATCCTCCAGCCTTTGTTGTTTCAGATGAAAAATCAGTTGTTGATTTTATCATTGTGCCTCTGTATGTCATATGTCATTTCTCCCTGCTGCTTCTAAGATTTAACCATGGTGTACTTAGATTTGGGGAGTTTTTTTTGTTTTTTTTGTTTTTGTTTTTGTTTTGTTTTTTTTGCATTTATCCTAGGAGAGGCTTCTTATGCTTCTTAGATCTGTAACTGAATATTTGATCAAATAGAAAATTTAAATACTGTTTCTGTTTCTTATTGTCTCCCAGTGACTAGGACTCATGTTTTGGACTGCTCTGTATTGTTCCACATCTCTGAGGTTCTGTTCAATTTTCTTAATTTTTTTCCTTGTTCTTCAGATTTCATCATTTCTGTTGATCTCCCTTCAGATGTACTGATTGTTTTTTTTCCTTCCTTCATCTCCAATCTACTCATGAAATCACAAATAAGTTTTTCCTATAAGGAATAATAATTTTAAGCTCTAAATTTTCTGTCATTCATTTGTATAGTTTCTCGTCGTCTTTCGATATTCCTTTTCTGTTCACTTATTGATATATTTTCCTTTAATACTTTTAATGCATTTTACTTTGAGTCAGTTTCTGTAGGTTGTGTTTTCCTTAGTATGGATCACATTCAGTAATTTTTTGGTTGAAATCTTTACACTGTAAAAAATGCATTGATTATGAATTCTATTCTGTTTTCCTGAGGCTTTCAGGTTTTTTGTTTTAATAGACAGTTAATTTGCCTGATCTTAAATTAACTCTCATTTCAATATATTGTGCAGCAGATAGTATCTCTGCTCGATTTTCCAGATTTTAGGTTTTGCTTTTTTAACTTGGTCACACAGAGCTGTCTCTTACAATCAGAATTTAGAAGAGAACCAAATATTTGCACAGAACTTATACTCGGATTTGGGGGCTCACACTTTGTATGGTTCTCAGCCCTGAGTTTTGTCCTCTGCCACCTCAAGTCAGTGAGACTTCAGCTTTCTTTAATACAAGATTCTGCTCTCAGGTGGGGAAATAAATGCCTTCAGGGGAGCATTAAATTTGTAAATCTCACATGATTTAATTGTCTTTCAAGTTTATCCTGTTCTCTCTTTCCTACTTAACTGTTTCTTTCTCCCTCTCATGCATAGATAATAGATGGCTTAGAGGTCAACCAGGGATTTGGGCACATTTGATAACATTTGCAGAACTCTTACTTCAAGGATTTTTCCCTTAAACTTTCAGCTGTTTTCTGAACTCTACATTCTGCTATCTCAAGCTGGAAAGGATTTGAATTAAAGCTTCCAGAGCTAAGGGAGGTTAAGAACACTTGTAAGCAAAAAAGCCAGAAATTAGAAATTAGAAATTCTTACATGTCATGATCACAGTCTTTCAAAAGGAAACTGCTGCAGTTTCTGTCTGTTTTTTGTTGCTTTCCAATGCCTTCAAATATTTTTTAATGATTTTTTTCAGGTTTTATAATTATAGCTGCAAGAAGCTTTGCACAGTGCTAACATTACCACAAATTCAAACTTTCTTGGGAATATTTTTTAATAATGAGACACCTGGGTGGCTCAGTTGATTAGGAATATTTTTTAATAGTGTGGGTTTTACAGATATTAACAATGCCTGACATATTACAGGAACTCAATTAATATTTGTTGAATAAATTAATCATGGCTTCTCTTTTTTTAGATAATGTAATAAATTTACCTTTGTCTCTGGTTTTGTGTTGTCTTCAAAGTATTAAAGGAAAGAAGACTGATATAAAAATGTAGCTATCAGTAGCTATCAGTAATATTAAGAAAACAAAGATATACTCAAGTTGTTTATATTATGTCACAAAATCACAGAAATATTAACACATTTCTGTCAAACCTGACACATCATTTTTTCATAAAAATTCAGAAAGAAGGGAGGATGAAGGAATAATGAAAGGTAAAAGGACCGTTTACTAGGAAATCATTTAGTACAAATTTAAGAACTCTCAACTGAAAATCTTCAATTTTAAATTGCTATTGGATATAAAGCCTAAAACACAAATGTAGAAGTAATACTATTTTTATAAATTTTATAAATATTAATTTTCAGGCTACATACACTAAGTGCTTAATTGTTGTGACATGTAAGAAATTAAGTGTGAGTTTACAAACTGATTGGTAGATAAGAATAGCCATTTTAATGTTTCTTTACTTTTGAGAGAGAGAGAGAGAGAGAGAGAGAGCACAAATGGAGGAGGGACAGACAGAGAAAAGGAGGCACAGAATCTGAATCAGGCTCCAGGCTCTGAGCTGTCAGTGCAGAGCCAACACTGGACTCGAACTCATAAACTGTGAGATCATGACCTGAGCCAAAGTTGGATGCTTAACCAACTAAACTACCCAGGCACCCCAAGAATAGCCATTTTAGAGGTGCAATGCCTAAAAAAAAAATCTTAGTAAAGACAAAAACATCTGTGATTTCCTTGCTATAATCATACATAATCCTCTAAATTTTGTGGATATCAGAAGTGGTGCAATAGATTGAGAAAAATTTTGTAATCAGACTATATTAAAAGGACTCACTTCTCATTGACCACCTAGATAAATAAGTTTCTTAGCCTATCTAACTGTACTTTAGGAAGACAGTTATTACCCCACCTCATATACTTATTTTAAGGAGAAAAATTACAAGAATGTCTGAGTATGCTTGCTATATGATAGGATTCTGACTATATTTTTTTCTTTTTTACAGAAGAGGATAAATATAATATTTATTCTTCTTTGCTCTTCAAGTATTTCCTGGCAGAAGGAATCATCAATGGGCATACTTTGTTGGTTGCATCTGCAAAAGAAGACCCGGCTGATATTTTACAGGTATAGGATATACTATTCAATATTTCATTTTGAACATTTCATGAAAAAATATCGCTTATATATATGTAAACAAAATATATGTTTGTATATATACAAACTGTATTTAAATCCATTAATGGGAACATACATATATTTTATTCTCTTAAAATTTATTTGAACATGTAGTTTCATTTAAAAAAATTTTTTTAATGTTTATTTATTTTTGAGACAGAGAGAGACAGAACATGAGCAGGGGAGGGGCAGAGAGAGAGGGAAACACAGAATCTGAAGCAGGCTCAGGCTCTGAGCTGTCAGCACAGAGCCCGACACGGGGCTTGGACTCACAAACCATGAGATCATGACCTCAGCCGAAGTTGGTTGCTCAACCAACTGAGCCACCCAGGTGCCCCCCCTTTTTTTTTTAATTAAATTTTCTTTTTATGTTTGTTTATTTTTGAGACAGAGAGAAACACATGTAGTTTCATTTTTAAATTAATGTTCTCAGACAATTTTTTAACTTAAAATTGATATTGGCAGTGGGAAAAATAGTAATAAGCTACTCAAAACTGAAATACATAAAATTATTGCTATACTATAGTCATGAAAATAAGAGAACTCTGTAAAAAGTTAGGTAAAGAAAAACAACAGCAGAATATTATCGGATATTGAATACCAGTATCCTAAAGATGTAAATCAGAAGAAAGATACAGAAATTAGAAGTACTCATTTATTGAGTGCCTCGGTGGCTCAGTCAGTTAAGTGGGCGATTTTGACTCAGGTCATGATCTCACTGTTCGTGAGTTCAAGCCCTATGCTGGGCTCTGTGCTGACAGCTCAGAGCCTAGAGCCTGTTTCAGATTCTGCGTCTCCCTCTCTCTCTGCTCCTCCTCCACTCAAGCTCTGTCTCTGTTTCTCTCTCAAAATAAATAAACAGTAAAAAATTAAAAAAAAAAAACCTAGGAAAAAAGTACTCATCTATTAATATTATTTTGCTTTGAAAATAACAGAAATTATTCTTTTCCAAGAAACAAGTAATAAAATAAGATATGTGGTCAATGTACTATATCTTTTTAAAACCAAAGCACACTTTAAAATTCAAAGAGGACAATATATATATGCCCAGGACAATATATATGTGTATATATATATATGTATATATATATATATCTCATATATATTTCATACATATTTCATATATATTTCATACATATTTCATATATCTTTTATATTTCTTTCATTTTTTAATATGCAATAATAAAATAGTTGGATTTAAAAGAATAATATGCCATTCTCATTTTTGTATTAAAAAATTATAAAAAATGTTGTTTTCAACCTGCATACCCTTAATGTGGTCTAGTTAGTTTTCACAAGTTTAGAATAGACTGAATTAAAAATTTATGCCTATACAATTGTAATTATTTATAATCTTCATAACACCAACATGTAGACAAAGTTTGTAGTGTATCACTGAGAAGAACAAATGAACTATTTAAAATGAGAAGTTGAGGAGTAACATAGATAAGTAGGTTTTCCTACATAATATTCAGTCAGGATTTCAGTGTTCCCAACTCTATTAGAGTTATATAAGAGTCATTTATTAAACAGTCCGAAAATGAATGACCAAAACGAAGGTATTAATAGCATTTAGAGATACACCATGGGTCAGTGTTGGGGGGGGGGATGGGGAGGTAGAGTAGGGAATGCTGTAATTGCTTAGTTTTAATTTTATGATGTATGCTTGGGAATTTCTGGAACCTATAACCAAGACAAATATTGCTGGTACAAGAAAAGGGAAAAGAAAATCTTAGAGACCATAATTATCTTAAAACTGTGTATAACTAAAAGACAAGTAAAGGATAAAAAGCCCCATCAGCTGCCTAAGATATATTATATAACCACCCAGCAATTTATCCATCATCCTTTGAAAACATATTCATGCCTATTGTAGTCAAAGCTCCTTCAGGAAGTCAGCATTAAGATGTAATGTTGAAAAATTACACCCCTTAGAAAATCCTATAGAACAATATACATGATGTTGTTAAAGCTTTTAAAAACACATTGGTAAGTATTTTTCAGTTAACTTTTTTTATCTAAGAGAATGTTCGTAATCATCTCAAATACAGGGATAAGTATTCTCTGAAATTTTTCTATGGAATGTTTTGTAAAATAGCAAAAATTAGATTTTTAAGTTAAAATATTTGTGTTTATCAGTAGGTAGGCTGATTTTTTTTTTAGAAATAAGAAATATATTCACACACGTACATACATAATTTCTTTAGAACTTAAAAATGCTGCATTTTTCTATTATATACTTTGCATAATTTTAAACAATATATGTTAATATTTATAATGTGATTTTCAGAAGTAAAATTAAATGCTATTTCTTAATATACTAAGGTGAGTGTTAAAGCTTAATTCAAATACTTTTAGTGACGACATGCCTGTATTGATTATATTCATGCAGGAAGAGATGTCTAATATCTAGAACAAAGGGTTAATTCCTGACTTATGGAATTAACTTTTTGAGTTATATCTTTTATACATTATGTACTATCCAAAATCTACTACAGTTAGAATAAAGAGGGAGGTTAGGATGATTTTAGGAGCTTAAATGTTTTACTTTTTAATATGCATTCAAGATAAGTAATGGTTATAGGCAGGAATATTGATAACTTATCTTGATGTTTACTAAAGGTTTACAGAACATATTTTTTAACATCAAACATACTAATAAGCAAATAGTCCATATTTAAAAGCATTTATTATGAAAGTACCCATATCTAATATAGACAAAGTCTTTCATAATTGAAAATGAATTACCTTGGGGCGCCTGGGTGGCGCAGTCGGTTAAGCGTCTGACTTCAGCCAGGTCACGATCTCGCGGTCTGTGAGTTCGAGCCCCGCGTCAGGCTCTGGGCTGATGGCTCAGAGCCTGGAGCCTGTTTCCGATTCTGTGTCTCCCTCTCACTCTGCCCCTCCTCCGTTCATGCTCTGTCTCTCTCTGTCCCAAAAATAAATAAACGTTGAAAAAAAAAATTTTTTTTTTAAAAAATAAAAAAAAGAAAATGAATTACCTTATATTAACCCATGAATCCTGGAATAAGTAACAGTTTATTTAAAATAAACCATATCAGGGGCACCTAGGTGCTCAGTTCGTTAAGCATCTGACTCTTGATTTCAGCTCAGGTCAGGATCTCATGGTTCCCAGGTTTGAGCCCCGTGTCAGGCTCTACACTGACAGCATGGAGCCTATTTGGGATTCTCTGTCTCCCTTTCTTTCACACTTCCCTGTTTGAGCACTTGCACATGTGCTCTCTCTCAAAATAACTTTAATAAAAAATAAATTGGGGCTCCTGGGTGGCTCAGTCGGTTAACCATCTGACTTCAGCTCAGGTCATGATCTCGTGGTTCGTGAGTTCTAGCCTCATGTCGGGCTCTGTGCTGACAGCTCAGAGCCTGGAGCCTGTTTCGGATTCTGTGTCTCCCTCTCTCTCTGTCCCTCCCCCCTTTCTCTCTCTCTCTCTCTCTCTCTCTCTCTCTCTCTCTCTCAAAAAAAAAAAAAAATTAAAAAAATTAAAAAGAAAATAAACTATGTCATATTAGATGAATTAATATAGCAACAAAATATTTAGTATTGAAGTATGAAAATTTAGACTAATATCTTCAGAATTCTTTTTTTCTGCACTTTAAATCTGTAAGTAAAAATCAGAATATCTCAATAATTTAGAGCATTTTTACATATCCCAAATATTAGTCTGTTACCCAAATAATGAACTCATTTATTAAGATCTTATTTATTGTACCTTGTATCTTTTGCTTTGTTTTTTGTTTGTTTTTTTAAGTTTATTGATTTATTTTGGGAGAGAGAGCAAGCAGCGTGGGGGCAGAGAGAGAGAGAGAGAGACAGAGAGAGAATCCCAAGCAGGTTCCATGCTGTCAGTGCAGAGCCTGACATGGGGCTTGAACTCATGAACCATGAGATCATGACCTGAGCTGAAATGAAGAGTCAGAGGCTTAACCAACTGAGCCACCCAGGTGCCCCTGGTTTTTTGGTTTTGATTGAGAAAAGATATATTAATTGATTTAGAATTTGGGGCACCTGGTGCCTGAGTGGCTCAGTTGGTTAAGCATCTGAATTTGGCTCAGGTCATGATCTCACAGTTCGTGGGTTCAAACCCTGCATTGGGTTCTGTGCTGACAGCTCAGAGCCTGGAGCCTGCTTCAGATTCTGTGTCTCCCTCTCTCTCTGTCCCTCCCCTGTTCGTGATCGCTCACTCACTCTCTCACACGTGCGTGCAAAAATGAGTAAACATTAAAAAAAATTTAAAAAAAAAGAATTTGGGGCCCCTGGGTGGCTCAGTTGGTTAAGTGTCTGACTCTAGATTTCAGCTCAGGTCATGATCTCATAGTTCATGATTCGAGCCCCACTTCACGATGACAGAGTGAGGTCTGGTTGAGATTCTTTCTCCCTCTCTCCCTGCCCCTCCCCCATGCACGTTCCCCCAATCTCTCTCTCTCTCTCTCTCTCTCTCTCTCTCTCAAAAATAAATAAATAACTTTAACAGAAAAACAGTTAGATGAAATAGTATTATTTGTTAAACAGTAAGTTTGAATTAACATTAAAAAGGTTTCCTTTCCTTGTGTCAATTTGGTGTTAAGTGTATATTTAACATCCATCTCTCATTAACTGATCATGGAACAAGATTTAGAAGTCTGAATCCAGTGAGTGGTTAGTTGTTTGCTTTTAGTACATTATTGTACAGGCTGGGCTTTCTGAGTAAATAGAATAGAAAAATATTTCAGATCCGACTTTTCTTTCCTTATTCTGTCAAAAATTGGGATAGCTTTAAGAATAAAGTAAAAAAAAGTACCCCTTGATTGGCCATATACACTACTGAACATTTTTTTATTATACTTATCTTCAGAGTTGTAGTTTTATAATGTTCAGAACAAAAGTAATATGTTATGTTATATATAATTAAAAAAATTTTTTGGCCCTTCTGTCATTCTACTTTGTAAAC